AGCAACATATGCTAGCGTAAATTGCACGAACGGTCTCGGCTGAACGACTACCATTTCAAACAAAATACAACCGACAATTGTTTTCAAAAACCCACCATTTCAATCAGTCAGATGTAGCCACCGTGGTCAGTCTTTTGACTTGAACGTCCGCTGGAAGCACAAACGGCTAACACTGGTGTCTCATGCGCCGGATCCACAACCGGAAATATGGACCGTACAACGTATTTCTATTTCCGTTATACAAACGTTCCTCGTTTCAGCGCGCCCCCTGCACTTGACCGCTGACATTCACGTTCACATTCTTTTTTTTTTTTAGTTGGTTTAGTCTCTTACAATTTTCTTTTTTTTTAAGGGCGTGCTTTGACGACTGTTACAGAAAAGCTCATTGGTGAAAATCTACAAAATAAATAATTTAAATACAAAATGCCCACCAGGTGTTTCACCACTATATTTTTCAACTACTTTTTTTTTTTAGTTAATGGTTATTTCAGCTATATATACAGTGATCCCTTGCTATAACGCGGTTTACTTTTCACGGTTTCGCTACTTCACGGATTTGCATCGTGCATTGTGTTCTGCATTCTGATTGGCTAAAAAGTCACTCCGCTTCTTCTCTACCTGTGCGCCAATAACGTTGCGGTTTAGTATGTAGAAATACGTAAAACAGCTTGCCAAATTGACATTACGTACGTGCAAATTCTCTTGCAATTTCGAGTTTATCAAACCCCATAATGTCGACAAAACGCTCTGGACCGGCAAAAGTACCTGCGGTAGGGACCAAAAGGCAGCGGAAGATGCTGTCTATCGGTGATAAAGTAAAACTATTGGACATGCTAAATGAAGGTAAAAGCTATGCGGCTGTAGGTCGGCATTATGGAATTAATGAATCTTCCGTTCGTTCCATAAAGAAGGAAGAAAAAAACATAAGGAAGACAGCAGCAATAAGTTTTAATAAGGATTCAAAAAGGGTTGCAACTGCCCGCAACAAGACCAGGTAATTTGTATTTTTTTCATAATCATTTTTAATTTTCTCCCGTTCACGGTGGGCGGTGCTAATCTCCGCAATTTGAAGCCTTCTGTTCACGTTGATGATTAAAATTATTATTTGACAGTACATTACAGAAGTTATTTGTTGAAACGTTTCTAAAGTACTTTTATTTTACTTTATTTGTGAAACAAATGGTTGAGACTGTAAAATGGTTTGTTCGTTCTTTCTCTTCTTTTTCTGAGTATTTAATTGTAAAAAAAATAAAGATTTCTACTTCACGGATTTTGCCTATCACGGGTTCTTTTTGGAACGTAACCCCCGCGAAAAACAAGGGTTTACTGTATTCACCCCCTTGGATGTTTTACCCTTTTAGTGCTTTCATAAATCAATCATGGTCAATACAATTTGGCTTTTTTAACACAAACATTTATTGGAAAAAACTCTTTAATGTCAAAGTGAAAACAGATTTCTACAAAGTAATGTCAATGAAATAAAAATATATAAAGAAATATAATTGTTTGCATAGTTAATCACCCCCTTTTTAAGTTAATGGTCTAATTCAATAGAGGTCCAAATTCTTGCCAATAGTCTCACAATTAGTGAAATGAAGATCACCTGAGTGGTGTGGGTGTGCTTCAAGTGATTGAGGTATAAAACACCTGTGTCCGAATGGTCCAGACTGGTGGATCAGTATTCTTGGTGACAATTACACCATGAAGACAGAAGAACACTCCAAGCATCTCAGGGAAAGGGTGATTGAGAAGTACAATTCAGGGGATGGATACAAACACATTTCCAAGGCATTGAACATCCCCCGGAGTTCAGTGAAATCCATTATCAAGAAATGGAAGGAATATGGCACTTGTGTGGATCTGCCTAGATCAGGCCGCCCTCGTAAACTAAGTAGGAGACTAGTGAGAGAAGCAACCAAGACCCCTACGACTACTCTGAAGGAGTTACAACTTCAGCTGCTGAGATGGGAGAGACTGTGCATATAGCAACTGCTGCCCGGGTTCTTCACCGGTCAAAGCTTTATGGGAGAGTGGCAATGAGAAAGCCACTGTTGAAGAAAAGTCATATTAGATCTCGACTACAGTTTGCCAAAAAGCACGTGGTCAAGTGGAAGAAGATTCTTTGGTCTGATGAGACCAAAATCGAGCTTTTTGCCCATCAGACAAGACGTCATGTTTGGCGGAAACCAAACACTGCACATCACCAAAAACACACCATCCCCACTGTTAAGCATGGTGGTGGTAGCATCATGCTGTGGGGATGTTTCTCAGCAGCCGGACCTGGAAGGCTTGTAAAGATAGAGGGCAGAATGAACGCTGCAAAATACACTCAAATCCTGGTGGACAATCTTATTCAGTCTGCAAGAGAACTACGGCTTGGGAGAAGATTTATTTTCCAGCAAGACAATGATCCGAAGCATACTGCAAAAGCTACACAGGACTGGTTAAAAAAGAACCAGGTAAATGTTCTGGAGTGGCCGAGTCAAAGCCCAGACCTCAATCCTATAGAGCAGGGGTCTCAGACTCGCGGCCCGGGGGCCAAGTGCGGCCCGCAGTACAATATTTTGTGGCCCGCACCTTAATATTAAAGTATACTGTTAGTGTGGCCCGTGGAGAAACTGGACCTCCGAAGAGCACAGACATTTGCAGCTAGAATAGTCATTTACCACATTAGCAATGTATAAAGTGTATTTCTGATTAGTTTAAAGTTATCTTCATTGAAAAAAACATTGCTTTTCTTTCAAAAATAAGGAAATTTCTAAGTGACCCCAAACTTTTGAACGGTAGTGTATATATTCGTATATGTTCAGATGTTTGTTATATATATTCTGATCTCATTATTTCCATTACAAAACATCATTTTGGTTATTCTTTTAACAAACATAGGCACATGTTCGGCAATAAACTTCCATCTTAACCCTTGTGTAATGTTCATATTGTTGTTACTCAGCCAGTGTTTGTGGGTCTGATGGACCCGTTGCATTTTGTGGCTTTTGATGCCTCACAATCAACACTTTTATGTTAAAATACTGAACAGATGTTTACCTTATCCCAATTACAAGCAGTATAAACTATATATATATATGGTTAATATTTGCCCTTTACCTTTGTTAGGTCACATTTATATGTTATAGGTATGTTCTGTGTACCTACACTCTGTCCTCCTCCTGTCTAGGCCTGCTGTGTGTGTAGATGTGTAGGTGTGTGTGTGAGTGTGTGTGTGCGTGTGGTACACAGAACATCAATTTCCACACTTCTATTAGCCCTGGGTCCAGTGGACCCGGACATCTTATATGTAATAGAAATGTGTAGGTGGGGGGTGTATGGTGTGTGGTCATTAAATATGTATTCTGATATATGTTCTTCACAGAAAATGAGCCAAAGTCAGTGAGTCTCAGTTTGAAAAATTAAATAATTTTTCTTTTATTAAAAAGTGAAAACGGGTCCCACAGACCCGAACACCACACAGGGGTTAAAAAATGTTTAGTCATTTTTATTTTCTTATATTTTTATTTTTATATATTGAAGAGGAGGAGTTCCTGGAGGAGGAAGAGGCCCTTGGAGCAGGAGACCAGGTTGATGAAGATGACAAATCCGATCTGACTGAAGAAGAGGAAAACACGTTCTCCAGGAACAAACTCGGACAGATGGAAATATACGACCTATGGAGACATCAAAAATGGACATTCAGTGCCATCATTGGACATAAACATGTCGTCATAAAATGCAATCAACTGTAAAAAGATCTTTGAATTGGATTTATACTTGTACATTTAAATGGTTTTCTCCAGCGTTCTACATCCAACCAATACTGAACTATGGTCCATTTTCCTCTAAATGCGATCGTCATCATAAACAGAAGTAACATTAATTCTGTTAGAGAAAACTCAGAACAAATGGCTGAGATCATAACTGTTTACTGATATTCAAAATCGAAGAGTGTCTCATTTGCGACATCGGGTCTTTGACCTGAGTTTCCAAAGTCTACAAACAACCCTGACCTTTTTTTAACAAACAGTCTATGATCAAATTAGCATTCGCAAATTTGTTTGCTCTGCATGTTTTCTCCTACAACTGGGACCTGACACAGTGTCAGAAGCAAACATTTGCGTCCTGTTTGTCATTTAACACTTGACGTGTTTCCAGCCTGGCTGGTTAATGTGCATCACAAACAGAACAGCCACAGTTTTCATTCTGCAGGAATGAAAAGGAACGATTTTTCTCCAGCATCTCTGCCGCTGCCGCCACTGCTGCTTCAGAGATAATGCAAAATGGCGGCAAATCTCATATTTCATTATCATATTACAGACCATTAGGTGATGAGAAAAGTCAGCATTGACAGTTTCCTCACAGAGACATTAATGAGGAGGCTCAGTTCAGTGAATGCAGAGGAGGTGATGGCAGCCTGACGAGCATTTTTATTTCATGGCTGCTGGTCTTCTTAACGCTGAACCACTGACAGATTATTAAGATCAGATACAGGCAGCTTTTATACACAATACAGATTTTAAAAAAAGGAATGGAACTTTTTAATGTTGATCTGAAGACCAGCTAGGTCCATTTGTGTTTTTTTTAAATCATAAAGAAATTTAAAAAAAAAAAATTAACTTGAGGAGGTTTGTAAGTCAAGACAATTCTAACTTAGTAAAAGAAAAATATTATTTTTTACTAATTTATACAAAAATAGCTCACCTAAATAAAGCAGACCAGAAAGGTAAAAAAAAAATTAAAATTAAGACTAAAAATAAAATTAAAACACCTCACACTTAGCCTGAAAATATGTAAAAAAAAAAAAACATTAGCCAAAGGAGAGCTACAAAAACCCATTAAAAATGATACGTTCCACAGAAATATGT